TTTTGGCAAACTTTGACATCCCTTGTGGAATGAGCGAGGTATTCAGCAGGATACAAAACTTCGGGTTTACAGATCTGTTGTATTTGCCATCCTTTTGTACGGCTCAGAGTCATGGACTCCATACAGGTACCATATATGCCAGTTGGAGCTGGATGGTTTCCATAAAAGCAGTCTGCATTCAATCTGTGTAGTTAACCTTCAAGATAGGACATCTAATGTAGACCTGTTTAACAGGTGTAATATTGGAGGAATCAAGATTTTTCTCATACAGTCTCACTTATGGTGAACTGGTCATGTCTTGAGAATGTCTGATAACAGGATACTCAAGATCCTAATTTACAGCTAGTTAGATTAGGGCTACAGGAATGTAGGATGCCCATGGCTAAGATACAAAGACAAGTTGAAAAGCAACTTGTCAGCAGTCAATATACTACATAACACCCTTGAGCACTTAGCCTTGCAGCGGGTAGAATGGAGATCAACATGTTTTAGTGTACTCAACAGTTTTCAATCTGCTTGTCTGAATCATCTTCAAGAAGCGAGAGCAAGATATAAAAGGTCAGTCAATCTAAGAGTGATCTCATTTCACAATCCTCACACTTGCTCCATATGTGGCCTCCTTTGTAAATCATTCGCGGGTTTTAAGTGCCACAAAATTTCATAACTGAATCAATTAAGCTGTCAGATCCTCATACGTCAAAACTGACTGAGAGTCCATTATTTTATATATATATATATATATATATATATATATATATATATATATATATATCAGATATACGAGATAATTGACAAAGTGGACAAAAATTATGTATAAAATATTTTATCACTTAAGAGGACTTCATTTTTAAATACTAGAATGTGTTGTTTTTTGGTCTAATTAACAAAATTTAAACAATTATATAAACACACACACACACACACACATATATATATATATATATATATATATATATATATATATATATATACATATGAGAGAAAAATGAGTGCATAGACATAGGATTCAACAATAAACAGTGACTGTCAATTATATGCCTTAATGTGATCTTTTAAAGCAAATGACTATAATTACAAACACTTTATCTCCAATACTGAACACTTTTTCTTTATAAATATAATAAATTTGGACAAATACTAGAATTTCTTTGCAACACACTGACACATACTGAAATCCTCACTGTATTCAATATTGTTGAAGTTATTGCTGAAATTTTTTGTTGAGATTTACAAACTTTATTCTCTCTACTGCATTTATATTTACAGTGCTGTGACAGTGCATTATTATTTATCCAGTATGAAATATATATAATATATAAATATAAAATATTATATATATAATAAAAACTTAAAGAAAAGATATGCAAAAAAACAATATTGCATTTTTATTAAATAAGTATTTGTTATTTCAATTACTACATTGTTTTTAAAATAGTGGGAGTATTTTTTATGTTATATAATAAAACTTTTAATTTTTTCCAAACAAATTAACAAAACTTTATAGAATCATAAATAATAATGATTTACTTATAGTGGGTTCAAAAATTTTAATAATTTAGCAAATGTTTATAAATTTATGAATAAAAAATTGTTTTCGTATTTATTTCTTTATAAACTTGTAAATTATAAATATTGCATTGTACTAGCTTTAATTGTGTTAGTTTTTAGACTGTTGTAAATATAAAATTATTCTTATAAATAAACAGTTTAATAAATAAATAGTCTTTAATATTTTTATTGTAAATTCTCTATAAATTCACTTTCATCCTGTTTAGGTTTTATTACTATTCTAATCATTGCTTTTTAAAAGAATAGCTAAAATAAAAAATATGTCTCTTCTCAAGAGAAGAAATTATGAATATTTCCTGTTCCTGAAGCAAACAATATTTTCACATCTAAATTTCCTCAGTGATAATCGCCAATGGTTTAAAATGATGAAAATATTAGCAGTGACAAAAATTTAAGAACTTAAAAAACGTTACATTTAATCATTGCTGATGTATTTAGTTAAGTATGAGAGATTGTGTGAGTGAACAAGTGATAAGGAACAGAAACAAATCAAATTTTAAGAAATGTTGTTTTCCTAATGAAATGAGATGAGCTATTTAGAAAGATGAATAGACTATAGAGAGATAAGTGATGATTTTTATCAACAATAAAGGTTAAAAAAAAGCTGTTTGTAGGAGGGTGTGCAGAAAAGTTTTTGGCCTGATCAAGAATAATTACCTGCTATTCTATATTTTAACTCTAAATTTCCTCACATTTAGCACATTTCTTCACAGTGCCCTTTTTACCAACCATTAAAAATTTGGATTTCTGTCTAAAGTTCTTGGATGAGGAGTTTATTATTTACACTCAGACTAATATCTTCATCTTTGTTGTTATTATCTGAATGTTTCAGCTGTTGTACATGCCTGCCTTCTATAGGTATTTGTCAGCTTGGGTAACTTTTGGGGAATTTGAAACTGAACACTTTATTTAATACATGGGTTAAATTGTTCTTGTTCAACTGTCCATATCTAGAGATAACTTGTTTTATTCATTTTTAGTACTCTTCAGTTATTGCTTGAGTTGATCTCATTTTGTATGAGCTTGTGGGAAAAGGAAATAAAATTGTTAAATAAAATAATAATAATAATAATAAGTGATACAAAACAAAGAAAAAAGAAATACTTCCCATGGTATTAAGAGCAAAGGAACTGGAAATATGATTATCCCACTTGTTTTCACCAAACATGCTTAGGTGGCCTTGTTGAAGCGTATAAAAAGGCAAACATTTACTGCTTCACTCTCTTTCCCCCTCTTGCTTCAAGATATATTACATCATAGTAATTATGCTTCCAATGGGAACATTAGTTTTCCCTGCTCTACTGATGATTGAACTCTCTTCCCTCTTTCCAATGCATGGCATTCATTTTCCATGTCATTCACATGTTCCTTCCAAAAGCCCAACCCATGAAGTAGGTCAAACTTTCTCTTTGGTTGTTCCAATTCAGTGCAAGGCTGACTTGAGCACAACCATTGTAACGATGCCTATATTGACTCAACCTAACTTCTGAACCAAGAAAATGAAAACAGACATTTCATGTTTATACCTTCTAATGATAAAGCAAATAGAAAATTTCC